AAGATTATTCCTGCTGGGAGTAGGGCGTGCCTGCTGCCTGAGTTCCCGCTGAGTCTCGTGGAGAAAAAGTATTTAGGACGTGTATTGTGGGGGAGATTGAGAATTTCCCCTGAGTGTGTGTGGAGGCTGGTGTGAGATCVGGAATAAAGAATTGCTGTTTGAACCTACAAAGCTGTGTGGTGGCTCGTGATTCTGTGCCAAGCCGAGACATTGGCATTTGGCATTATTAAACTTTTTTTTAAAGAGAGAATTTTTTAATATTTATTTTTTAGTTCTCCGCAGACACAACATCTTTGTATGTGGTGCTGAGGATCGAACCCGGGCCGCACGCATGCCAGGCGAGCGCGGTACCGCTTGAGCTACATCCCCAGCCCCTGTTTTATTAAACTTTAATATTGTGTCTTCACTGCCTCCAGGAGAAACCAGGAACCCTGTCTCTTTTTTTTTTCCCAAAGTGGAGCTGAATATACTAGCTGCTCATAAATTTCTGTTTTGGTTGATTTCATCATAATCTCCATGAAGGAATGGACTATGACTATCTTGTCCCCTTTACCTTCAGCAGTTGACCAGGGAATGGCACATAGTAGGTTAGCAATAAATATGTATTGAATGAACAATTCAGGCCAAAGCTATTTACCAAATGTCATTCTCTTGGTATAGCCTTATGTTCCAAGAGAAGGAGGAAGCTTCTCTGACTTCTTCATCATACAGTATTCAGAAACACTGTAATGATAAATTATAAATGAGCAAATGAATAAAGGGATAACACAACTAAACAGGTTCTTTGGAAACCAAGTTAGCAAGTAGGTGCTGTGCTCCAAAACAAGAGTCAGATCTTAGAGAAAATTAGAACCTGGACACAAGACAAAGGTGGAGCAGATACTTGTTGAGAAGAAAAGTGTCCAGGCCCAGTCCTTCAGCCAATTCACATTTGGAGGCTTGTTACCTCATTAGCTCTTTCTAGAAAGTGCTGGGCAGTTATTAAACATTCAAGGGATTATTTGACCTAGTCCGTCACTCAGTTGGAAAACATAACAATGGAGATATTTGTATATTTAAGATAAAATTTTTCAAGATTATAAAATTAATACCAGGTTTCTAAGTCTGGCAAGATAGCAAACTAAAAGTATTTCTATTCCTACTGCAAACACAAATGTGGTATAAAATAATGCACATTAAAAATCAGATGGAGGCTGGGGTTGTGGCTCAGCAGTAGAGCACTCACCTAGCAAGTGTGAGGCCCTGGGTTCGATCCTCAGCACCACAGGAAAATAAATAAAATAAAGGTATTGTGTCCAACTACAACTAAAAATATATATTTTTAATCACATAGCTGTGATTATGGAAAGACAGGAAATCCTCAGGTACTAGACATGAAGAAGGAACTGAAAACATGACAGTGAATTTGAGAGTGAATGAGTACTTCTCCAGAAAAATCTGTGGTCCTGAAATCTTGCTTGGGGTTTCTATTTTCACACTGAAGATTGGGCCCCTCAAAGGTTGAAACTACATAAAGATGAAATCCTTAAAATATTTGCACCTTAAGTGAAAAGGCAGGCAAGAAAGGAAGAGAGAAAAAAATGGGGGGGAAAGTGTATTAGCACTGTAAGAAGACAAGAAAGTTCTCTCCGGCTCTAAGGGCAATGAAAGGGGAGAAGATTGAAACTACATAAAGTTGAAATCCTTAAAATATTTGCACCCTAAGTGAAAAGGCAGGCAAGACAGGAAGAGAGAAAAAAACGGAAGGAAAATTGTATTAGCACTGTAAGAAGACAAAGTTCTTTCTGGTTCTAAGGGCAATGAAAGGGGAGTCTATGTAGAAAAAAAATTGTTTTCCCTAAGAATATGAAACCTCAAGCATGTGCTTTATATATGTTTGAGGTCAAACCTTCCAAGGCTATCCAGGAACATCCAAAACTGGTCCTGGTGCATTTTCCATAGCAAATATAAATCCTCTTTGGAGTAACACTTATTTTCTGAATTCTTAAACAATGTTCAAAAGCATTATAATGATAAATTATAAATGAGCAAGTGAATAAAAGGATAACCCAGAACCAACCAAACAGGGTCTTTGGAAACCAAGTTAGCAAATAGGTGCTGTGCTCCAAAACAAGGGTCAGGCTTGGAGAAAAACTTATTTTTATGCTTAGACTTTGTATCAAACCCATACCAACTGACAGGTAAGAAGAAAAGCAAACTGAAAATGATTTTACACCAAGAATTAGCAAAAATTCATGGAAACAATTCATTGTTGAGAGTCAACAACATCAAAAATGTCAGATACTAGGAAGTCAGTAAGATAGGAAATAAAATTTACTAAAGACATAAAGATAACAAGTCTGTTAGACACAACACCAGCCAACCCACAAACAAGATTCCTCTCCACACTTGACTTCTCAGAGAGCTGCAGATAAGGTCATTTCTGAAGAAGCACCTGATCATGTGGCAAGACCTGCTGGCACTCAAGAATGACACCACTGCTTTGCAGCTTCACTTTGACTCTGGCAACAATGTCTTGGCCCAATGGTCCTTCCCCTTCATCAGAGATCCCCCAGAAGATGCAGCTGGAAGCCTCATTGCCTAAATGTGATGGTAGAGACAAATTAC